TCACCAAAAAACCAATCAAGGTATGCCTTTCACTCACACATGCCTGGCCAGTCACTAAAAACTGAAACTCCAGCCCCCACAAACCCATCCCCATCTCTGATTTTTCCCTACCAAAAGGACATTAATAAATGGTTGTTATTCCTTTAGATTTGTGTGAAGGAGATGCTTGGTAGCTTCCCTTGTGTGTGTATTTATATTTCGGCCTTGGGCCTTGCAAATGCATTCAATGTATTCTCCTTTTCTTTAGTAATACACTTATTGTGTTTGCTATTTAAATTCCTAAATCTATATCTTAAGAGTGGTTCTCTTGAGTGTGAGTTTTAGGTTCTAGTTATTTAAATGAGTGTGTAATATCTTATTTGAATGCTAGACTCCAACCCCAAGTAAGGATAAGAGTGTGTAATATCTCTTAAACCAATTTGGTTTATCAAAAAAAAACACCAAAAGAAACTCCTGCCCTTTTTCTTTCTTCAACTCAGCCCCTCCATTCCCTCCTCTAAATACTTCCATCTCTTTACTTAAATCTTCTTCCAAAACCAACCCAAGACACCTACTGTCTCCCTGAATCCATTCAGCCTTGATTCCCCCTCCTTCCACCTTGAGTTGAAGCCTAACATAAAATATCCGTAGTCGCACTTTATGATAATACGGACGTCATAACGTATCAAGACTAGTACGTACGAGATGAGATAGTTGCGTCTCATAGACTATAGGTATTGTGATATCTTAATATGTACGTAGGTGCATATTATATCGATAATATGTGACTGGATTGACCAATCTTGAGAATACTGCATGGATCTACAGTAATGTGTTTATCAGTGTTCTCAATTCGACCTTGCTATAACTATCCTCAGACTTGAAGTTATTACATTCTCTGATATGTGGGGCCATATGCTTTGATTCATAACTAACGCTATCTGAAATACTGGTAGACGTACAGTTATGTGTTGGGTATGCCACTAAGCATATTTAGAGATGTGAATAACAGATACAGGATCTGTCCCTTCTACTGTATAGAAGTATAATGTCAATGGGCCCACTGAATAGTAGGACTTGGGAAAGTGCATGGCCATGCCCAGATATGTCGCTATCTAGAGACTGATAAATATCTGATCCCTGCCTAGTCTACTTGAGATTCAGTAACAGCTGATTTAACTATACAAGGATACACATCCCATGTCTTGTGTTAAATCATGACATTTAGGACATAAGGATAATAGTTATAGAATGTCTTGTGTCGTAGAAGGTATTGATGAGATGAACGTCTTTTTCATAATCTGGGGGTAATAATGTGTTGCTAGATACCGCTTATTATCTATGGTATTAATTTTATTAATATCATTGCCAGTGTTATGGATACCTAAAGGGTCACACACTTAGGACTTGTAAGGGAGTAGTATACTACACTAGTGGGAGTAATATTAAATATATAGTTGTGATAATTTTATATATATATATATATGTATTTCGAAAATACATATGTATTTTAAAATTATATTTTGTTTGTGTCATTTTAATTAGTCAATAAATTTTAGTAGTTTACGAAGCCGGCTTACGAAGTTACTAGTTTAGTAGTTTTTACCGTTATCGTTTTTGTAGATTAGTCAATAAATTTTGGAGACAAAAATTTATCCCATTATAAAATTTAATCAGGTGGCCATATTTAGATACTGGACCTAATATAATTTTATTTAGTAATTTTCGGAATTACTGTTTGGGGTATTTTAATATTATTCTTATTAAGTAGTTTATGTGTAGAATACTTGTTATTTGTGCCATAAACACTTAATATTTATGAAAATTAGATTTTATATTTTCTGGGATGTATTTGAAATGTCAATATAACTCAGAAATTTTAAAATCGATTTTTGAAATTAGTTTCCTAATTTTCTATATTTAAATTCGTTTATTGAATAGAAAATAGGAAAATTATTTTTGACAATGAAAAATTCATTTTAATTCAAAATAAGTTGCGACCAGATATTTTAATATTGTATAAAAATTTTCATAATTTTTAAGCACGTAAAAGTATTTATTTTGTATTTTTGAAGTAATTGAATCAATACTATTCCCTAGTCCGATTTTTAATTATTTAAAATTGCAAAATTAATATTTTAAATTCTGGAAAAATCATATTCTGGTTCTGGAACTTATTTTGGAATTGAAAAATAAATTTTGATATTTTTGGAATTTCGAAATATATTTTCACAATATAGTTTCGGTTTTCTAGCTTTGAAAAATGGTTTTCAAAATTTTAAATTTTATTCATTCTGGAATTTTTGTATTTCCAGATTAATAAAGTTTACTGGGAGTCTCCAATAATTATTTGCTAATTTAGAAAACATATATATATTTAATTTGAAATAAAAGCCCTTTTTCGAATTTAAATATATATATATACGGTAAATATAAAATATTTTATTTTCTGGAATTTAGAAAATCAAATTTCTAACATTCTGGAAATTTAAAGTATTTTATGATTTTTAATTAAATTACTTGCTAGTTTAATTAATTTATTGTTGATAGTTTATTCCGTAGAATAGAATAAACTAGGTCTGGGGCGAGCGCGGTTCGCCTGGTCTATGCTCTAATATATATGATGTGATGCATGTGATGCTTGTATGTATTATTGCATGGTGGATGATTGTGGCTTAGTTATGTTTGTTATAATTTTAAATACGGCCTGCGTGTCGTGCCTCATCTCTATACTCTGGATGTAATTCTCTTCTTTATCTCAATATTCTTTTCTCTCGAAAATTATAAGAAGAAAAGAAGATGAAGTCCGTTCGTGATGGAGAATCCTAAGGAAGACGTGATGGGCCGGAGATAGAGATCTCTTGATCAAGGCGCTGTCGTTTGTTTTTCTTTAGGAGCCACAATCATTTCACGTTTACTTATTATGCATGTGATGTATGATTGAATGTATGCATGTATGTGATTTTCGCTAGTGCATGCGCGCGGTGTATGCCATAGGCAAGACTGCGTAATAAATCCCTCATAATTTTAAGTCTGTGCCACCCCGACGCCCCGTCACTCGTCAAACCCAATTTAGATCGGTAACGGACTCACCCAAGTGAGACGCCCG